AAAAAAAGGACCGAGTGACAATCTGTTTTTCCGCTGGGTGTTTGCTCGCGGTATGGATAAAAATAGCCCTGCTAGATTAGCTAAGCTAGCTCAAGGTAGCTTAGCAAGCGACTGCGTGAATGCTAGACTAAACAATACGGACAAAATAGACGTTTAAAATACAGATTGCGACAGAGTCTGTGGGGATGTAAGACCATACAATACATTGGGCCCATTAGGAAGTAAGATACATATTTAAGACAAATTTTCGTGCGTGGTGCATCTGTATAATATTACTGCCGATAGGGCTTTTTCTGGACTTTGTGTTTTTTCTAAAAGTCTGAGTATGTATCTGTAATACATGCTTGTCTAGGTTGGTAAGCAATATTGACAGGGTAATCAGTTAGGAGACAATTAAAATAACTTGTGTGCCGGGGTGGGTGTGAACAGTTCTTAACCTGTATGTTCAAAGAAAAAAATTTGGCTTGTTAAATAAAGCATAGATGTGTTTTATGTATAGGGGTCATTGCTGAAAGGGCCTTGAAAGACAGACAGCGGGGTAATATCTGTTTCGGCAGACTAAAGCTCTAGAAAAACACCTTGAAATACAACCTTACACCTATCAGTCAAATAAGAGGAAAATTTTGTATTGCAGATGATGTATAGCTTCTAGATGAAGTAGTTGATTAAATAATGTTTTTTCAAGTAACTTAGAAAAAATAGGAAGAACAGAAATTGGCCGATAGTTTGAAACTTCTGTTGGATCACCAGAATTGAAAATGGGAGTAATCTGTTTTAATCTATTTTCTCCAAAAAACCACACATAAATATCCGCCTTTTAGTCAAACATTATCAGCAGTTTTTATTTATTTATTTGCTTTCTTTTGTATTTCTGATTAAACCTGTTTTCCACCTTATGGAATCACTCTCAGGTGGGGAGGAGGACAGCTGTGTTCTCTGTCTTCAGTTCATCTCAGACCTCTAATGACAACTCTGAACCACTTAAGAGTCCTCTGAAACAGTCTGAACTTTTCTTGAGAGTAAGAGTGATTCTTAGACTTAAGAATTTTGATAACTAACACTTAAACTTAAGTCTGAGTGTAGGAGCAAATCTAAGAAATTTTCAGCACTTAAGTCTAAAAATCCACTGTAAGAAGTGTAAGAACCTTGCTCCATGAGATTAATACCAGCTTAACCCCATAACAGTCATGTTCCACAA